TTGGTAGGAGAAATAAAACAGATGTAAAATACCTATAATATAAAACCACAAGTGTAAAGGGCCCATGAGAAAAATACAGATAAATCCATATATTGATGAAGAATGAGCTATCCCTTTCTATTAAAGGGAGAGAGCAAGAATGGTTTTAGGGAATCTAGTATATGATAAGTATGACATCTTAAAATCAATGGGGAAAAATGAACATTCAATACATGGTATTAGGAAAACTGGGATCTGGAAAAAAAAAAACTATGGTTGGATCCTTATACTCCATTGCACACTAGGATAAATTCCAAATGGATCAATATTTAACCATAAAAAATAAAACCATAAAAATGGCAGAAGACACGAGGGAAATATTCTTATAACCTCTGAGTGGGGAAGGTCTTCCTAAGTGTATCTCAAAGTTGGTATGTTTTTAAAAGAAAGATAAATTTGGTAAATATAAGTTGACACATTTTATGTACAAATAAAAAATTATATAAAAAATAGAAAAAAATGCCATGGTGAAAACATAGGCAAAGTATAACAAGAGCAAAACCAAAGAACCAATTAAAATATGTTTCCAAAAGATGACATACAAATGGTCAACATGTACATGGAAAGGTGCTCAACATAATTAATTATCAGGGAAATGCAAATGAAGATCACAATGAGATATCACCTCACACCTGTTGGGATGGCTATTATCAAAGAGACAAGATATAATAAGTGTTGATGAGGATGTGGAGAAAAGGAAATCCTTGTGCACTGTTGATGGAAAAGAGTACAGAGAAATTGAAGAAATTAAAGGTAGAACAAGTGCCATGTGATCCAGCAATCACACTTCTGGGTATATATTTGAAAGAAAAAAAAAAAAACAGATCTTGGAAATATCCATACTCCTCTATTCATTGCAGCATTATCCACAATAGCTAAGATATGAAAACAGCTTAAGTGTCAATCAACAGATGAATGGACCAAACAAATGTGACATATATACAGAAATATTATCCAGGCTTTAAAAAAGAAAATCCTGTCATTTGTAGTAACATGGTAAACCTGGGGGGGCAGGGGCAGCATTATGCTAAGTGGAATAAGCCACAGGAAAAGAAAAATACCGCATGTAAAACTTATATGTGGGATCTAAAAACCCCAAAAAACAAACAAAAAAAACCCCCCAAGAGTGGCAATCCTTATATCAGACAAATTAGATTTCAAAAGCAAGACTGTAATAAGAGATGAGGAAGGATGCTATATGCTACTTAAAGGGTCTATCCAACAAGAAGATCTAACAATCGTAAATATCTATGCCTCTAACATGGGAGCCGCCAATTTTATAAGGCAATTAATAACAAAAGCCAAGAAACACATTGACAACAATACAATAATAGTGGGGGACTTTAACACCCCCCAACATTGAAATGGACAGATCATCTAAGCAAAAGGCCAACAAGGAAATAAACACTTTAAAAGACATACTGGACCAAATGGACTTCACAGACATATTCAGAACATTCCATCCCAAAGCAAAAGAATACACATTCTTCTCTAGCGCCCATGGAACATTCTCCAGAATAGATCA